GTTAATGTTTCATGATTCAAAGTGGACTTATGTTGGTAATCTCTCCTCCTGATACTGCTTTGTTTCTGTAGCTCTTCTCTTGTCAACACAAGTCTTCTTTAATGCCTGGCAGCTTCCTGGAGTTTTACCTTGATCCCACTGACATTTCCTCGAGGATTACCTCTTTCTTCTCTGATCGTACCTGTTTACCAGCCAAAAGTCCATTCTGTAGGGCCCAGGCAGACAGCGTGTTAAGACCTTTCACCACAGCAGCTTTGGGGACCAGCCTGGAGGAAACACAAAAATTACTTCGGTGTTAACATTTCTGTTTTGTCTTCTCCAAAATAGAGAATCTGTGTTTTAACAACATGATGCATTTAATATAATATCACATAAATTATAACAATGTTGGCTTATTTTGTACAATGGATTCCATATTCGGGGGCAGTTCCCCTGGATTGGCAGACCGGGGTGGTGGTCCTCCTATTTAAAAAGGAGGACCACAGAATGTGATCCAACTATAGGGGGATCACACTTCTAAGCCTCCCTGGTAAGGTCTATTCAGGGGTTCTGGAGAGGAGGGTCCGTTGGATAGTCAAATCACGGATTCAGGAAGACCAGTGTGGTTTTTGTCCTGGTCGTGGAACACTGGACCTGCTCTACACACTCAGCAGGGTCCTGGAGGGTGCATGGGAGTTRGCTCAACCAGTCTGCATGTGTTTTGTGGACTTGGAGAAGGCGTTCGACCATGTCCCGCAGGGACTCCTGTGGAGGGTACTCTGGGAGCATGGGGTACCAGGCTCATTGATACGGGTTGCTAGGTCCCTGTTTGACCGGTGCTAGAGCTTGGTCCGCATTGCCGGTGGCATGTTGGAATCACTTCTGATGAGAGTTGGACTCTGCCAAGGCTGCCCTTTGTCACCGATTCTGTTCATAACTTTTATGGACAGAAGTTCTAGGAGCAGCCAAGGTGTTGAGGGGATCCTTTTTGGTGACCTTAGGATCACGTCTCTGCTTTTTGTGGATGATGTAGTCCTATTGGCTTCATCAGATCCTGATCTCCAGCTCTCACTGGAGCCGTTCACAGCCGAGTGTGAAGCGGTCGGGATGAGGATCAGTGACTCCAAATCCGAGACCATGATCTTGAGCTGGAAAATGGTAGAGTGCCTTCTCTGGGTCGGGAGGAGGTCCTGCTCCAAGTGGAGGAGTTTAAGTATATCAGGGTCTTGTTCGCGAATGAGGGAAGAATGGAGCAGGAGATCGACAGGCGGATTGGTGCTGTGTCTGCAGTGATGCGGACGTTGTACCGGTCTGTCATGGTGAAGAGAGAGCTGAGCCAGAAGGTGAAGATCTCGGTTTACCGGTCGGTCTACGTTCTTACCCTCATCTATGGTCACGAACTTTGGGTAGTGACCGAAAGAAAGCGATTGCAGATACAAGCGGCTGAAATGAGTTTCCTCTGCAGGGTGTCTGGGCTCTCCCTTAGAGATAGGGTGAGAAGCTCGGTCATCCAGGAGGGACTCAGAGTAGAGCCGCTGCTCCCCCACATCGAGAGGAGCCAGTTGAGGTGGTTCATCTGGTTAGGATGCCTCCTGGATGCCTCCCTGGTGAGGTGTTCTAGGCACGTCCCACTGGGAGGAGACCCAGGACACGCTTTAGGGACTATGTTTCTCAGCTGGCCTGGGAACACCTTGGGATTCCCCCAGAGGAGCTGGCCCAAGTGGTTGGGGAGAGGGAGGTCTGGGTCTCTCTGCTTAGGCTGCTGCCTTCGAGACAGGACGGACGGTGGAATTCCATATTTTGGTGAAGAAATGATGAGCAACATTGTGATAAAAGTAGAAATAACATCTCAATTTCACATTCTGTCAGTATCTGCATCAGTTATTGGTAAATTTGTTGTTAAAAACACCAAACATAAACAACAGATGTACATTTCTTTTATTTGCTTTCACAGGCATTTGTTACCTCTGCATATAAACAGCATTGGCTTCTGGATACATGTTTTTCTTCAGGTTGTTACTGAGATCCACCAACACCTTGAAATGAAATAAATTAGGAGCAAAAAAAGGGAAAAATTACTTATTTAATTGCTGTAATTTCCATTTAAAATAATGTCTAAATATATTTTTTCATACACTTACTGTACCTTTTTTATAATATGTAGATCATTTAAAATAACCGAGCCAGCCGCTGCTTCAGTTTGTAGTGAAAACTTTAAACATTTGATGCTAAAAGTTTTCGCTAAAATTTGTCATAATGTTTGTTTCAAGGATCTTTCAGTGTTAACCATCACGTGTAGAGTTAATGTGGGTCACACTCCWAGTTGCAGCTAAAATAATTGCTTAATTTATAGCGGTCATAAAACACATGAGCAGCTTTGTTTTAGAGCCCAGTCTGGTTTGTCCCTTCAGGGCTACTGTTAGAACATGGAAGAATAAATTGGTGCACAGTGTGAGAGTGGACATGTAGATTTACGTCTTAACATTTAGTTTTTCCAGTACTTCTAAACTGAAAATATAGAAATAGCGTYATAATAAATTTAACATTGCATTTCTTTAAATAAATGTATGTTAAGATACTTATTAATCATAACTTTTCCATAACATCTAAAAATCTGATCTACTGTTTAAGACATGAGATGTTTTTTATAAACAACTGTTGCGTATGTCATACTAAGGTTTTATTTTGTAGGTTTCTGAGCGGTGCTCCTGCAAGATGATGTCATATATTTAAAAACCATCTACGTTCACGTGGTTGTTGTGTTTTTTATGCCCCCCACAGAATATTATATCCTTCCTCCATGACAGTTAAATAGAATTATGAACTACCTCGCRATGAAATATATGTTTGCTGCATGTAAAATGACTGATGTAATAAAAACCCGTTGGAGCAGTTGTTAATGTTGTGCTGGTTATAAAGCACTGTGTCAGTGCGAGCTGTTTACTCAGCCCGTAAACTTCTTTCACCTTTCCTTGGAGATGATCCTTCACTGTTTCCAGGATTTTGTAATGTTCTCTATGAAGACAGACAAAGATGATTTTGGCCGACTGGGCCACCGAGGCGTGCGATGCCACCTGAACACAAACACAGACTGAACCCCTGATCCCACAGAACACTTCAACTGCTTTTGCTCTTTATTCCTTTGACACACAATCGTTATGCTGTACCTGAGCTGTCTGAGGTATGCGAGGATTGCGGCTGTGAGGGTTTCGGCTGCCGTACATCACTCTGTAGCCAGACTGGACCAGACGTTGGCCCAGAGAGGTCCCCAAGTCCCCGGTCCCAAAGATGCACAGCAGCTCGGGCTCAGGATCTGCTGAGGTGTCCAGAGAAKGTAGCAACATGTTGTCCCTCATCGCCTAATGATCCTCTGCTGATCCTCTGCTTTTCCACTGTCCGGTTTGGATCGTAAACACTCCTTGCTGCTGTAGAATTCAACCTTTGCCTCACCCTTCCTCCATTTGATATCTCTCAGCCCGGTTAACAAGAAATGATGCRTTGGTTTATTACACCCGTCATCAACGGCCGTAAAAGTTCTGGAGCGTGCTGCTGTGGGACTGAATTATCATWCCACCAGACAAATCTACATGGTAATCTTATGTTGATTATTATCCCCCATTGCCATGAAAGGCAATAATGTAATTATCTATGTGTGTGTTCATTTGCCTGCCTATTAGCAAAATGTCTCAAGAGCCACTGGACAAACACAAAAATAGCTACAACTCAGTCAGTGTTAAACATATTAAGATGTGTGTTTTTATGTGGTAAKAGCAAAAAGTCATAATTACAGACTCTGGGTGTGAACAAATGGAATAAAATGTTTCAAGCTTTGGCCTTAAATGTGGGAGTTTGCGCTGTCTCTCTGTTAGCAAAATATCTCATGAATCACTGGAAAGATTTTTCTAAATAAATATGGTTTTAGATTAAAAATAGTGTCATGAAAAGTGGTAGAACACCTCTTCCAAAAAATGCCAGGCTTTTTATTATCTATTGGTAATCATAAAATAAGGCAATACATTAAAACACGGGTGTCAAACTCATTTTCACTGAGGGCCACATGAGCGTTATGATGATCCTCAAAGGTCAGTTGTAATTAAATTTTATGTTTTTTTGTGTTTTTGACTAAACACAAAACATCACATTCTGTCTCATTGCTACAGCTGAGTACAGCCAAAAAAACAATAACAGCTCTATGTAGTATTTTGTGCATAGAAACAGCGTTTTAACATCTTATAAACACTGAAAAGTACTATGTGTACAACTGACTAAATGTGAAATCAAGAAATACTATTAATAGTAAATGTAATAGAGCTTTACTCACTATTTTTAATCACTTCAGTAGAAAAAAGAACTTAATATTAGTTTCTTAATTGCTTCATCATCAGTGAATTTTTTTAAGTAAAGAGAAAATAGAGAAAGAGGGAAAAACAAAGGGAGAAGTAATTAGAAAGATTGAAATAGAGATTAGAAGCATATTAAATATACACCAAGAAAACACAGGACCACACACCCAACGTCTGTCCACTCACCTAAAAACAAATGGATAAGTACATGGATGGCATATATAAARACTCACTATTTACTCACTATTTTAATTTTTTTTATTTTCCTATTTATTTTTACTTTTTATGTCCCTGTGTAAATTATAATGAATTAATCCTAAAATTATTTATAATAAATGGTTTAAATATTTACTGTATATCAAGTGGATTGTGGTGAAAAACCAGTTTGCTGCACTTGTGAAAGTAAAACTTTTGGGCTTCATTTGGACACTGACATCAATATTGCCAGACAGGACATTGTTAATAAAAACAAAAAAAACAAAAAAGCTTTATTCTGTGAGGTTGGCAGCAAAATGACCCAGGGCCCAGGCAAAATCCAAAAACAAAGTTTAATAAACAAAAGGAGGGCTGTCGTGACAGCAAAACTACAAACAGTCTCAGGGAACACGAGGAACATGGAGGACAACCCCACAATGATCTGACAAACACTGGAGACAGGACACAGAATATAAAGGGAGAGCTTAACGAGACAACAAGAAACACCTGGAGGAGACACAAGAGGAATCAGGTGAGCAGGGGCGGGGCAAGAGGAACACAGACTGTGACATACACACTATTGATTGTGGTGAGTAGCTGCAATCTTAAAGAGGAACTAACRCCAAAATAAACATTTTTTAACTGATAAACTGTCTAGAATGTGTCTAAAATGTTATATTATTCTGAACCCTTCCACTTTTTAACAGGGAATACACACTGGAGGGGTCACTTCAGCTCAAATTTATGACTCGTTTGTAGGAACTTCCCACTTCCCAGTACAGTGGGCAAATGTAGCCAGTGAAAATGCAGCAAAATGGTAATTTTGCTGGATTTTTATGAACCTTGTGTACCTTTACCAAGTAGTGGAATGGGATTATTTTATATGCCTTGGAGTTGTAATTTATGGTAAATGCTGGGTTTAAAGGAGCATATTTTAAAACATTAATACARCTTTAAGCTCTATTAAGCCACATAAAATGTTGTGGCGGTTCACATTTGGCCCACAGGCCATGAGTTTGACACGTGCTTTAAATTATAAATATTCAGTGTGTGGAACCCTCTGCAGACTGCAGCAGAAATTTGAACTTCGGATTAACTTTTCTCTTTTTTTTTCTTCACACTTTATCACTTTTTTAGAAATACAGATTGCTTTATTCTTCCTGTTCTTCCAGAATCTGATTTTCATATTTCACATGGAAAAAAAGTGTTATGCTGCTGCTGCTGCTGCTGCTTCCCAAGGCTTCTCTGTCTTTTTCTATTTTCTCAGTTTCCACACTTGATGTGATGCCGTGTGGGAGATCCTGGCCCACATATTCATTATCATTTCAAAACCTGCTGTTCCGATCAAATGGCTGGGAAGAGAAAAATGTAATGTCCGTGTCCTCCCATGGCTAAAACATCTGCAAAGTTGTGACACAATCAGATTCAGCAAAGCAGAAACAAACTTCAATGTGTATGGGAGGATAGTGTGTGTGTGTGTGGCTGTTTGCTTTGCAAGCCCCCTGTACAGGAGTGTGTGAATGTTTGTGTGCACGCTGAAACGGGTCAGAACGATCAGAGCTGAGTGGCGGCCCCAGCTGTGATGCGCAGCCGCTGGGGAGTTGGCTCGGTAGACAGGGTGACAACCTGGCTGTAGAAATGACACACAGCATCACATCAAGTTTACTGACTATTTGCACAAAAATACTCGTCCCTCCATAAAAGCTGCCTCACTGAAATCACAATATACAAATACATATCCATCAATATTTACGGCGCGTCGCAGCATGTTACCTCTGAAGCATTTACTGTCAGGTCCATAACTAAGGCCTTTATGTCTGCCTGGGGGAGATAGTGCAAAATGAGAATCATTTTATGACTAACTTTTAAAGCATCCATTCAGCTGTAGCTCTGTAAGAACGGACCTGATAATAGATCCAAACCGATGACTCATTTATTAGCTTCGCCGCTGGGAGAACTCTGTGCAATCAACACCTCTACAGATTCCTTCTTCTGCTTTWACATTTTCTCCTTGCTGGCTCTTTGCAACATTTCCTCAAGGTAAAAACTATTGAAGTTACAAAGCTGGCTGCAATGATGTCATCCAGGTCCATGTTTTCTGCCTCATAAATGAAGAAAGTTTGATAAAGTAAAAAGAAAGTKCAAGTTCAAAGTGTCTGAGCACTTGTTCCGTGCCTATTCATTCACAGTGGATTCAGATATTCTTGACYTGGGAGTGGGTTTGTTTTGCTATTTGCTTTTTTTATCAATGGGGAGGGTGTGTATTTTGCAGAATGACCTGTTGCTCTCACGTTTCAACAAGAATGGTAAAAATGCTTCGAGCAGATATCCAAAAACTACTGAAATCTCAAGGGTCATAAACGTCCCAATAGAGAAAGTGTGAAAAACTGGAGTTGCTCCTAAATTTACATAAAGTGAGAAATAGAAGTCATCAGTCTACTAGATTTTTATGTGAAACTACCTTATAGCATGTAGGGTACAGTGTCTGTCAAACTGTTTTTTTGTTTTTGGGTTTTAGGTGAAAACAGGAGGGCCCGGGTTTTCTCCAGATGCTCAGGTTTCTTCTCACAGTCCTAAAACATGCAAGTCTAAATTGGAAGGAAGGAAGGAAGGAAGGAAGGAAGGAAGGAAGGAAGGAAGGAAGG